TTATAAAGAATTTACTAGATTATCAATAATAAGACTTTCATTGATTTAGTTAAATGGCTATATATCTTTTCTTTGTATATTTTGGGTATTTTGAAAAATATATTAATTTTGAAAATTCAAAATATTACTATTTGGATTTTGATTACTTGTGATTCTTTGAATACCTAAGTTATTATGATAACTGAATGAATTTGGAATATTTTGACAAATTTGTTAAAATGAAATACTAGTTTATTGATAATATTGAACATTGGAGTAGAAGTTTTTTGGATCAAAACATTCAATTTTATTTTAAAAAATAGGAAATTTGGTTTAAGATTATGTGGGTTATGGGTTTTATTGAATTTCTGGTTATTGAGTTGATTGTTTGTAAGTTCCATAAAGAATTTATTTGAAATTCAAAAATTTCCTCTTAACTAAATTAAGAACATTCTCCAAAATTTTCTTTTCAAATTAAATAGGCAATTGATTCAATATAGTAAATAATTCTTAAATTTCTAATTTTTACTTTTCCTCATCTTTCTTTTGCTTTATTATTTCAATTAACACTGACTTTAAATTATTTTTAACTTCATCAACAATTTAACTTTTTTTTATGACTTGATAATTAATTTACTTTTGCAAGTACTTCCATGGATCAATTAAAGGAGATTTAGGCATGTTGTCAAGTCTTTTTTAAATATCTTCCTCAAAAATTTATTAATATTATTATTTACTCTATTTATTCAGAGTATTAAAAGAATTCTTTTTTTGAAAGTCTTTCAAAAATAGAGAGCAGATTTTCTCCATTTGACTTTCTTTTTTTTCATTTGGCTCCTATTTGTTTATTACTTTTATAAAATAATCAATTTAATCTTCCAAATTTTCTGATTTGAACTAATACTATATCTTATATTTCTAAAAACAGACAAATAATGCTTTTTGAAATTCTATGTGCAAGTTTTCAATCTCTTTGTTAGATGATTCAACTTATTCATTCCACAATTATTCAAATTTGTTATTTCTTAAATTTAAGTTTTCTTATAATTTTTTTAATTATCCTTAATTATTTAATAACTCACTGACAATCTATTCAAATTTTGCAGAGACAAGACTATATTGAAATTATCTCCTTAATTAGTGAATCTTTTATAAGATTATTAAAGATCCTTCTAAACCAATTGCATAGTATACTTCTGCTATATTACCTTCTACTTTTTTTATAATTGCATCTGAAATAATTTAATATGAATATTCTTTTTATAAATCCTTTAATATTTCATCTTTTTAATTATAACATGATTATAAAAAACCATCTTAAACATCCTTTTGTATAGAATTATAATTTTCTAAAGAATTATTTGATTCACTCTTTTCTTAGATCAATTGAATGATATAATCAAAATCTGGAAATTTTTCATTTGCTTTGGTCATTTTCTCTGTTGCAATTTTGTTAATGGTTTCATAATCTTTTTACTCTTTTAAATCTGAAAACTCTACTAAATCAGGTAATTTTGAGACAATTTCCCAGCACGATTCAACTTTATTAATAAACGCATCCCAAGTTAAAATTTAATGATGATTATTTTTAGTTTTTTTATACTTTTAGATATACTTTTCTATTATTTTTATTCCAAATTTCAAGGCATTTTTGGAATAATCTTATTGGTTAATTTCTTAATATTAGATAGAGTCATTCTATGATTAAGAATAATATTTTTGCCACTCTTTAGAAATTGTAGCCATTCCCAAAATTTAGATATTATCCTCATGTATATCTAAATGCTCAACATATTTAATTTAATTATTATCTTCATCAACTAAGCTTTTTTCAGCATCTAAATTTTTTCCTATATCTTCAATTTAGTTTAATAATTTAAATTTTTCATTTTCGTTTAATTAACTATTTTAATTGAAACACCAAGAAAATTATTTTAAGAATTTTAATTTAGAATATTTTGCAAGTGTGTAAAAACTGGCTTCAATTAAATTATGAAAAGTAGAATGAATTTCACCTTTCACATTGAATATAAGAATATCACTTATTTAAATTATGAAAAGAGTAATTTTTTTATCAAATTCTGGATCTTATTAATGAGGATTTTAAAGTCCTTCTGAATCTAGCAATAAAATATAATCAAATAAATTATCAAATTATTCTTTATTTGATATTTTTAATAATTATAGAAATAATCCTTTTGTACATCGTCCCATACTAGTTAAAAAATGGCACCCAAATATTCTGTTTAACAATGTAGATTTTCCAGAACTTTATGGCCCCAATATACTTAAAAACAGTATTTTATTATCTCCTTTATCTAATAAATTTTCTCGTAATTGATGTAAAAAGTTTGAATCTATGCTAAGATCATCTCCATTTAAAAATTCGAAAGGTTCTCCTTTTTTTATTAATTAACATACAATAACTATTGGGCTTTAAAGAAAGGAACTATTTCCTTTAATAACTTCCCTCCAAAATAATTCAATACTGATATTTTGGGTTGTATATTTATTTTCTAAATTTTTCAAACTCTTCTCTAGAATTTGTATTTCTTATTCTTCTTTTATAGACTTAAGTTATTCTTTAACTTTCTCTATCTTTAAATTTAAATCTTTAAGATTCCTTGAGTTGAATTTTGCAATTTTTTCAACAAAACTTATGTAAGTAATGTAAAAATGGTTCTATTCAAAAATTTAACTAAAATATTTTATTAATAGTGATTCATTAAAATTATGTTAAGTATTTTTTTCTTCAAAATTATCAATCTCTTTTGTAATTAATATGAGATTTTCTTCAGTTTATTTAATTTTTTGCTCAATCTCTTATTTTTCTTTCTTTTTTTGATCTAATCTTCCCTATTTATCACTATTTTTATCGCATTTAATCTAAATTATGGCATTTTATTTTTTTTCTAACTCTTATTCATATGAATTTTTAGTATAATTTAATTGTTATCTTTATTTTTTTAACGATTTTAATCTCCATGCTAAATTTCTTAATGGAAATGCTTAAATTGAATAAAATCCATCTTCTTACTTTATGATTTTCTCTAATTCGAAAGTTAAATCTGTAAGAATTTTTTAAGATTGCTTTATTTCATCTTCATTAACATTAAAAGCTTTACAAATATTTAAAAAGGATTCTTATATTTCTTCTTCTTTGACTGTTTCATTTTTATTATCTATTTTTTTTATAATAAATTCTTTTATTTTTTTTCTTTCTTCTTTTTCTTCAGCCTTATTCTCTTATCTTTGTAAATTAGGTATCTGATAAACATCAATACCTTTTTATTAAATCATATTAAGCTTTTCTTAATTTAATTACTTTTGTTCTGAGTCTCGAATGATTAGAACAATTTTAGGATTAATTTTGAATTCCATTTTTTCATACAATTCCATTAACTTATCCACATTTTCTTCAAATTCATCATCTGATTGCATTTATATAATCCAAAATTAAAAAAAGGGAAGTAATGCTTAATATATTTCATCTTCTAACTATCCATGCACATCAGCTATTAAATAATTTCTACTTCCATTAAAGGAAAAATCAAATTAACAATCTATTGAACTATTGTTTATTAAAGATTTATCAGAAACTTCAAATTTTGAATCTTCATATTCAGCATAAAATATCATATTGATTAACTCTGATTTTCCAAATTAATTCACAATTTTGCTTAAAGAAAAATTGATTATTGGAAAATCATTTGATAAAAGATAAAACATATTTGAATTTAAGATATAAAAGTCTTTATTTGAAGTAAAATTCTTTTCTAATTAAGGGTTTTGATAAAGTAATGGAACAGGATAGCTTTTCGAATGTAGTTTTAATAGCATAACTTAAAGTTCTTTATCTGAATTATTGTAAAGTAATTAAAATAAAGATTTTAAGTTCAAAGATTCATTCTTTCTACCATCCTGACTATTAATAAAGCTTAATAAATCTTCTGGTGATTCTCTCCTTTTAATAATATTAAAATAATAAGGAAGCAATTTCTTGAAATTATTTTCATTAGTTTTATCTTTTAACCATTCTTAAATAATATCCTCTTTATTGTTTTTCGAAGTTAATGAAATATTAAATTCTTCCATTTTTATCCTCATTTATTTAGGATATTATTAAAAAATCTCATTTTAATTAACAAATCTTGACATTTTTATTTAGGATTTATTTTCTAAACCATTTTATAGATGAAGAAGGTTAATCTTTTATATTTTAGAAAAATCATCAATTTACTTGTCTTCACAACCTTTAGTTATAATTTATAAAAAGATCTATTTTAGTTTATCAGATAAATCATTAGTAGCTAAAAATTTTAAGATATGTATTTGTTTATTAAACCCTTGGCATTGATTTTATTAAGTAATCAACTGATAAAACATAATTTTTTTTGAAATATTTACTACTTCATTTAAATTTGATTCTTATAATTCTAAATTTTGGAATTTAAATTAGTCACATTTATTCTTAAATTCTATCTCGTAATCCTCCTATTATTTGTAGCCTTCTTTGAAATCTTAATCTTAAAGATTACTATAGAACACTATTTTTTGTAAAACATATCTGAAAATTAAGTTTTTGTTTTGTGAACTAATATATTAAATAGAATTTTCACATACTTATTACTTAAATTAAGATATTTTCTGTAATTTCTATTCAATTTCTTATATTTTATCTTTTAGTTTGAATTATTCAATATATTAAATCCAAAAATAGAACACTAGCTTAAAATATAGAAAATCTAAATTTTGATTAAAATTTTCTGTTAAAGAAATGTATGAAATCAAATCATCTTTATTTATTTCTTTATTTTTTACATAAAGTAAATTTTTCATAAACCCCAATAAATTATCAAAATGAGATCCAAGTTTGATAGTAAATAATTCAAACAAAAAAAAGATTTATTAATCTTTACAATTTTAGTATAAAATATCTTTTCCTTATTGTACTGATATTTCTTTGAATTAAACCTTCTGAATACAATTTTGAAACATTAATTGTGTTTTCTCATTTTAAATCATAGCCTCTTAAATATAATTTTCAAATTTATATATTTAATTTTCTAAAAGACAACCTACTAATTAATGAATTTATCCTTTTATTTCATTATCACATTCAAGAAAGAACAATTTAATAAGCTGTATTAAATGGAAAAAAAATTGTATTAAGTCTTATCTTTTACTATTTCTATAAGTTCAAAAATTAAATGAATGTTATTTTTTAATTATTTAAGAGGAATAAGATAATCTTTAATCTAAAAAGGTATCAAATTCTATTTGCAATATTGCTCATTTTTTAATTCCTAAAGAATTAAATCAAATTATTTTTCATTTAAATTATCTTAATACATCTATTTGTAACCGTCAATTTATTCTTATGTGTTATTTTGGTTTATATTTATTTGTCTAAAATAAGGCAGGTTTAGAAATGAGGCTTTTGGGAAATTTTTATGTAAGAATAAGATTTTTTCTTTCTTATTTTCATTATCTAATTTTTCTAGTAATACTTTCAAATCATCTTCTATGTGTTCATCATTTAAATGAATTCCATTTGAAATCTTATCAATAATAATATTGAATTCACTATTAATTGAATCTAAATCGGAAGAAGTCTTTAATAATTAATTCATATAATATAATAGATAAGAAAATAATTTTTCTCAATTTAGAGTGATTTTTTAATTCTAACAAACTCTTTGATAGAATTAAAAAAAATTTGTAATAAAAAATTTTACAATTCGCTAATTCAAACATATATGATCATTTAACATTTAAAGGCTTTTGGTAAGTTGAATCAATCTCATTTCAATCTTTAATTATAGTAAGTCTAAAAATTTACTAAATCTTTAGATCTCTTTTAGGCATATTGATTAATAATAATTACTAAAGTCTATTTTAAAGTAAGTAATCTATTCAAATTATTAAATGTATTCACTTCAGTTCATTTTGATTATTTAGCCTTCCCTCCTTTCAAATATTATCAACTATATTGTATAACTATTTAAAAAATTCTTTTGCCTATCAATCCTATCACCTATTAATTATCATAGCTCATTTGTTAATTTCAAATTAAAAAAATATATTTATTCAAAATTTGAATACATTTTCATAATGTAAGGTATATCTTTTATTCTTATTAACATTAAAAATTGAAAAGAATTATAATTTTTCTGATAAAATTTCCTTATAACACCCTCCTATATAAACTATTTGATTACATAATATTGACTTGAATAGATAGATAAGGCTATAACTGAATTTCGAAATGTTTCTAAAAATAATAGTAACAAAATGTAATAAAGCTTCTATAAAGGAAAAATCAACAACTTGGGTATAGGATTTAAAAAAATGGTGTAAGTGAAAAGAAAATTTTTGAACCTGTGCTTTAAATTGATCTTTGTAATATTGTTCTGGTTCTCATATGTTGAAACAAATTTATTCATAACTTTAAAATTTCTCATAAAAGTATATCATCATATTACTTATATAAATGGTATAAATTTTAAAGCCAATATTAATTATTGATAGGTTTTACAAACAATATAACAGTACTTGAATTTAAATTCTTATTCATACACTATCTATTCCCCAAAAANTATAGAACACTATTTTTTGTAAAACATATCTGAAAATTAAGTTTTTGTTTTGTGAACTAATATATTAAATAGAATTTTCACATACTTATTACTTAAATTAAGATATTTTCTGTAATTTCTATTCAATTTCTTATATTTTATCTTTTAGTTTGAATTATTCAATATATTAAATCCAAAAATAGAACACTAGCTTAAAATATAGAAAATCTAAATTTTGATTAAAATTTTCTGTTAAAGAAATGTATGAAATCAAATCATCTTTATTTATTTCTTTATTTTTTACATAAAGTAAATTTTTCATAAACCCCAATAAATTATCAAAATGAGATCCAAGTTTGATAGTAAATAATTCAAACAAAAAAAAGATTTATTAATCTTTACAATTTTAGTATAAAATATCTTTTCCTTATTGTACTGATATTTCTTTGAATTAAACCTTCTGAATACAATTTTGAAACATTAATTGTGTTTTCTCATTTTAAATCATAGCCTCTTAAATATAATTTTCAAATTTATATATTTAATTTTCTAAAAGACAACCTACTAATTAATGAATTTATCCTTTTATTTCATTATCACATTCAAGAAAGAACAATTTAATAAGCTGTATTAAATGGAAAAAAAATTGTATTAAGTCTTATCTTTTACTATTTCTATAAGTTCAAAAATTAAATGAATGTTATTTTTTAATTATTTAAGAGGAATAAGATAATCTTTAATCTAAAAAGGTATCAAATTCTATTTGCAATATTGCTCATTTTTTAATTCCTAAAGAATTAAATCAAATTATTTTTCATTTAAATTATCTTAATACATCTATTTGTAACCGTCAATTTATTCTTATGTGTTATTTTGGTTTATATTTATTTGTCTAAAATAAGGCAGGTTTAGAAATGAGGCTTTTGGGAAATTTTTATGTAAGAATAAGATTTTTTCTTTCTTATTTTCATTATCTAATTTTTCTAGTAATACTTTCAAATCATCTTCTATGTGTTCATCATTTAAATGAATTCCATTTGAAATCTTATCAATAATAATATTGAATTCACTATTAATTGAATCTAAATCGGAAGAAGTCTTTAATAATTAATTCATATAATATAATAGATAAGAAAATAATTTTTCTCAATTTAGAGTGATTTTTTAATTCTAACAAACTCTTTGATAGAATTAAAAAAAATTTGTAATAAAAAATTTTACAATTCGCTAATTCAAACATATATGATCATTTAACATTTAAAGGCTTTTGGTAAGTTGAATCAATCTCATTTCAATCTTTAATTATAGTAAGTCTAAAAATTTACTAAATCTTTAGATCTCTTTTAGGCATATTGATTAATAATAATTACTAAAGTCTATTTTAAAGTAAGTAATCTATTCAAATTATTAAATGTATTCACTTCAGTTCATTTTGATTATTTAGCCTTCCCTCCTTTCAAATATTATCAACTATATTGTATAACTATTTAAAAAATTCTTTTGCCTATCAATCCTATCACCTATTAATTATCATAGCTCATTTGTTAATTTCAAATTAAAAAAATATATTTATTCAAAATTTGAATACATTTTCATAATGTAAGGTATATCTTTTATTCTTATTAACATTAAAAATTGAAAAGAATTATAATTTTTCTGATAAAATTTCCTTATAACACCCTCCTATATAAACTATTTGATTACATAATATTGACTTGAATAGATAGATAAGGCTATAACTGAATTTCGAAATGTTTCTAAAAATAATAGTAACAAAATGTAATAAAGCTTCTATAAAGGAAAAATCAACAACTTGGGTATAGGATTTAAAAAAATGGTGTAAGTGAAAAGAAAATTTTTGAACCTGTGCTTTAAATTGATCTTTGTAATATTGTTCTGGTTCTCATATGTTGAAACAAATTTATTCATAACTTTAAAATTTCTCATAAAAGTATATCATCATATTACTTATATAAATGGTATAAATTTTAAAGCCAATATTAATTATTGATAGGTTTTACAAACAATATAACAGTACTTGAATTTAAATTCTTATTCATACACTATCTATTCCCCAAAAAATGTATTTACCTTTTTGAAAATATCATAAATGAATTATCCTCAAAATTTTAATAAAGCATTATCAACTATTTATTTCCTTTCATTAGAAATTTTATCATTGGTACATGTCTACCTTGGTTTTTCTTACTCACTTATTTGATTATACTTTATAAGAAGGAAAAGAGAATAATATATAAGTATTTTATTACCACCATAATCCTCCTTTAATGTTAGTTTATGAGTTATTTCTGTTTAAATTTATTTGTAACAAATAAGTAGGCAACCTACAAATGTTTTAGGAAACGTATTTGAAATCGAAATATTAATAAAAGGAATATTGAAAAAATACTTAATAAAAGAACTCGAGGATAGAATTAATTTGGGTAATTTAGATAAATATATTAGATGCATCTACTTTCAGCCTAACTTACAACTCGTTCATATCAGAATAGCCAGATAGTTGCTAAGTGTTTAATTTACATCCAAAAACTGATGCTAAGTCTTAGGTTTATGAAAATAGACATTAATTATAATTGAATCATTATAGTTTTTAATTATTTTCAATTTACTTATTCATAAACAATTTCAGACTATTTTAAAATAAATATTCTATACTTAACAAATCTGAAAATTAGATGTTTATCTTTATAAACAAAAATCTTAGGTTTTAAACTACTGCTACTCTTAATTCTTAATTAATAATATTATATAATTTAAAAATAGACTTATATATTCATAAAATTTTTGAATTGAAAATAATCGTTTATCTAAAAAATTTGATGAGTGAGTATTGGAGGAAAAATTCCATTTGATGAAAGCATATATGAGGATTGGGAAGCCTAAATAAGAATCAAAATGTGTAACTTGTATAAAACATAACCAACAGACTCACAGATTAATTTGATAAGTAATTAATTTATTTTTACTCAATCTTCTAAATTGAATTTAACAATAAAAATTAAATTTAATTAGAGTTCAAAATTTAGACTAGATAATTATTTTATTAATTTAATTCCTAAATCCTGAATTTCATAATCTGATGGCTTTGATTTTTTCAATCAGTCTTCCAACAAATTTTTTTCTACTTATTTTTTGTCTTATGGGGCCTTAGTTAGTCTTAATCCTTAGAATTAATGAAAGATCAGATTAGCTCAAAAGGAATTAATCTATTCATTAAAGAAAAAAAATTTATCCTTTTTGAATTCTATTTTACCTTCTAATTCTTAAATTCTGTTATTAACCTAATTTGTTAACATAAATTCATCATTATTAAATTTTAAATTGAAAATTTTATAGTCCAAAAGTGTTTGAGATATTATTAATTACTTTAGTAGAGATGGCAAAACGAAGAAGCTCCTGAGAATTTCCTGATATTTATAAAAGAATATATAATATTAATGAACGATAAATAACCTATTTTATCAACATGCCTATTCTCTAAAAATAAATTCTTATCCATTAAAAACTATATTTCCTTAATTAACGATGGCGCTATTATCATGAAATCTCAAATTCTATTTAAAAAAATTCTTATTATTTAAAAAATAAATTGCACTTATGAACTGAAAGAAGATTTGTATATTGTTTTAGCATCATCAAAAGTCATTGATGATTAATAAATATTTTTTGGAATGATTGAAATGTTTAGAAACGAGACAATTTTAGATTGCTTAAGATTTCTCTTTTAAGATGAAATACCAAAGTATTACAAAGAATAAATTTCATAGACATAAAATTTGTCTTTTGTGAATATTAAATATTGAAAAAAATCACCTTAAGTATATTGCTAATATTATCAAAAATATTTCTGAATATGACTTTAATAAAAGTGACCATTTATCAGAAATCTATTTTGATACTATTCAATACCTTCTTAAGAGAATATCAAAAGAAGAAAAGATTGTCGAATTGTTAAAATTTTTAGTTTCCCTTACTAGTGATGTCTGATCAGTTTGCTTCTCTGATGGAATTAAATTAGTGATTATAACTCTATTCGTTTAAGGAATGTAAAAAACAAGATAATAAATTTTAACATCTGAAATAAGTAAATAAGAGATTTTTACTTAATTTAAAACAAATCTTTAATAATAACAAAAGGGCAGTATTTATCTAAATTTTATTTAGTTAATTCATATAATATGATATTTTTTATATCTAAACAAATACTAAAACTTGAAACTAAAGAAGCTTTAATCTTTAAAGGAGAATTCCTAACACACAAAGACCTAGATTTAAAAGCCTTTTTAGAAATAGAGGAAATATTATTTTGGAAGGCTAACCTGATAATAATTTATATACTATAAATGTAATTCAAAATTGAATATAATTATAAATATATGAATTTAACATTTTTATTATTTCATTATGGGTTTATGATCAGTAAGAATTTCTTCTAATATATTACTGAAATTAGTAGGTTAGGATATCCAAAATTTAAATTTATTATTGATTGTAAGTGTAGCTGCTCTATTATTTATACTTACCTTATCTCTAGTTCAGAAAATCAATTAATTGGCTTTTTTTTTTAAATTCTTATTAATCAATTAAAAAAGTGAGAAAAAGATTGAAATAAAAAAATAAATAAATAAATTAATTAGAAATAACCAAAATTATTTTAAAGGGAATGATTTTGTGAAAATAAATTTAAGAATAAATTTAGATCATTTTGGTATAGTTATGAATTATTATTTTTTGTATGAAATATTTAAATTAATTATTCTTGAGTAGAAAGAACTAAAGATCTTAAAAAATAAATTTAATCAAATTAAAGTTGATCTTCATTAAATCACAATCAAACTAAATAATGATAAAGGTTAACAAAAATTTAATTGAACATTTCAATAAGATCTAAGTTTAAGTTTGAGCCAATGTTATAAAATAAGTATTACAACAAATGTAAGGGCTGAAAATAGCCTCTAATTATTAATAAAAATAAAGATCATACTAGTATCACTAAATTTTTGGAAACCGTTTGTAAAACATAGTTTGCTTAATTTAATATTATAATTTAGCAGTCAATAAATCTTATATTTATGGGAAACATATTCTAAACATAGCAAAGCCCAAATTAGAAGATATCTAATAAAATTCAAAATTAATATTAATTAGTCAGACCAGGATTATATTCATTTAAAGTATAAAATCTGATCATAAAATAACTAGTGATAAGTGAGAACAAAGAAAAGTTTTTTTTATTTATGCTTAAAATTAGTGGAAAAATGGCTGGTAAAATTTCATATTCTTACTAAAGTTCGAATTCTGAGAATAGCAAAAAAATAAATTGATTGTTCGAAAATAGAATCTCTATTTATAAATTGATTTTTTAGATGGAACACCAATTCAATACAAGGAAATGGTAATATAAATAAATATTATGCTTCTAAGGAATAAATTAGATTAGGAAGTTTTTGAGGCAATATCACCAGCCCAAGCAAAAATCATGAATTTAATCAGAAAATACTGTCAAAAATGTGATTGTGATGTTTAAATTATTGATTGAAGGCATTAGTTTTCACGTCTCAACATAAAAAAAGAATTTATCATTAACAATTATCTCAATGAAAAAAATATTGTGAGTTTGATGGCAACTTAGAAAATTAATTGTTATTAGTATAAAAGTAAATATTTTTTTTTACTTTGAAATTCCTTTTCAATTGTAATGTTCGAAACTTAATAATCAATTAAGTGAATGAAAGTAAAGATCGATATATAATTAGTTTTTAAGAAATGATTTTTGAAATATTTTTATTGTTATTCAATATGATATCAGATTAAGATTTCAAATTTATTATTATTGATAGAAAAGTTAAAGAAACATATAATTATGCTGATGTAAAATAAACAAAATGTTAATATGAAAAATATCAAAAACTAAATCATGCTGAAAAATTTCTAACTGCATAAAAGGCCTAAATTGTTATGACAGACATAAAAATATCATATGAATTACCCAAAGAATATATCCTAATTTTTAAACCAATAGATCGGATAAATTTATTATACAAATCCAAAAGCAGAACCATCATATATTTTTATATCATCACTAAAATCATTGTAACTCAAGAAAACTTAAAAATAATGAATTCTAGTATCATAATCCCAAAAACGAATTCTCAAAGTATTGATCTCTTAACCCTACATTAATTAAATTATTATTGCTTAATAATGATCGCACCTAGCATGGCCAAGATCTTAGAAATTATGTGGATAAATATTAAAGGGCTATGTTAATCTTTAACATCAAAAAATCTAATTTAGCTAGCATTTTCCAGTAAACCCCTTTGAATTTTGATACTATATCAGTTTAATGACCTCTTAAAATTTATCTTGTAACACTCTTATAAATATAATATACATTAAATAATTATAAATTATTGAAGACGCTTTTATGATAAATCTAATTTGTATATATGAAAGAACATTTCTAGACTTAGGAACCCAAAAATTTCTGTTTAGGTCAATAAAATTTTTTTGTTAACATAAACGTAAATTTTACATCTACAAAAGTCTTTTTTAATAACTCTTAATGCTTTCTTATAATATCGTATCTTGGTATTTTATGTAAAATAATATGATTTAATATTAAAAGTATTTTTAGTTGATATGTAAGAAATGAATAAATAATTATAGAATTATCATTTTCCGTTAAATAAATGAATAACAAAAAAGCATAATTTAAATAACCCAAAAAAAATATAATTCAATTCAATAAATTTATAGGAATGGGAGATAACTTGATTAAATATTTATATAAAATGTTTAAATCAATTTTGAAAAGTTATAAAATCAAAAAGACATAGTAAATTTATACACTTTAATTAGTAGCCTAGTACTGGTATAATGACAAAGCATTTTCGTATTTGCTTTTTAATGTATTTTCCCTCTAGATTCAAAATTAGAGTTTTAATTGCAAAGTCTCTAAATAGAAGGAATTATTTAGTAATATTTTGAATATTTATTTGAATCAAGTAGAAGCAACTTTTGTTGAATCAAAAAGTGGCGCGTTGTGAAGGTAATTTATTTTTGTGGATATAAAACAGAAAGTTTAAAACATGATAGAAATAAGGTTTGATTTTTTTTATAGAATTAAGAATTTTGTAAAAATAATTTGGAAAAAGATTGATAAATTAAATATTATATTTGTCTAATTTTACATTCAAGATTAGCAAAGAATTATTGCAAATATGTTTTGAAAATCTTGGATAAAACATAACAAATTATCAAAAATTAAATTCATAATGATAGTAAGCTTATAAAAAGGCATTCAAAAAGTCACATCATAAAGTACTAAGCGCATTTTCTTACATATATAAAAGTGAAAAGAATTAAAATCTCCAAGACTGATAAAAATTTGAATAAAATTGTTATTCAATTTTCAATAGTTATTTAACATTACTAAAACATTTTTATAAGCTTGATTGCTTAAGAAAATAAATTAGAATCTAAATTTTGGAATAAATTATTGTTCTGTATCTATTATAATTTTTTAATATTAGAACATAAGTGTAAAGCACGATTCTACATGGACAAAAAGAAGAACTTGATGATTTTTCTGAAAATATGAAATCACTAGATTTTATCTTGACTTTTGAAAGTTGTGTAAAAAAATAAAATTCTCAAAATCCTAAAAGGTATTATAAATTTATAAAAAATAGAATTGAAAATATTTTTAAAAGAGAATTTATGAAAAGGAATAAAAAAGATTGGTAATAAATACACTTATCTTATGAATATATTTCATTTCTTAAATTTAGTAATTATACAAAGTTACATATATTAATAAGTAAGATTATTAAGACCTTATTTATTTTAATTGCAATTGTAGTTGTATCTATCTTTTTCTTATATAATTAAAATATCTTTGATTTTCAGGTATTTATAATTATAAAATATTATTATTTATTCTATGTATATTCATTCCTAAAAATCTTAAATAATTAAAGTATATGTGTTTAATTCGATTCTTATATTTTTTTCATTTTAAGCTATTAAATATAGATAATAACTCGATCATAATAGATGATATATTAGTAATCAGAACCTTCAATAATTTGAAATTAAATAATTATTTTAACAGTATTTAATCTGAATTATTTAGGAAATCTCAAAATATTTTTTCCAATTAAGTTAAAATATTAGTGTGGTATTTCGATTGAATTTTATTATGACATTTAATTTTAATATATCATAATTAGATGAAAAATTAAAATGAGTTTTTATTGGAATAACTTTTCTTCAAGATAATAAATATAAATTATAAAAACTAAAAATGATATAATATCAAATTAAAAATAATTTATATAAATAACTAACATACATAGAATTTTTCGAATGCTAAAATTTGATTAGAAAAATCAAATTTAAATAAATAGTAATCACAATCCAACTAAATCAGAAAAAATTTGAAACACTTTAAAAAAATAAAACAATTAATAATGAAATTTTTAAGAAAATAAGAATAATAATTTTATTATCATTTGACTCTATCAATTATTAAGAAAAGATTCTTTCATAATATTTAATTATTTGTATTACATATTAAATGTTAGTTCATTCAGGTTTTTTGTATTTTGGAAACTAAGGTAAATTTTATAAATACATTATAATTAGGCAAACAATTTTAACTTTAAGTATATATTTGTAGTTCTCCCCCAAAATATTTTGAATCTTTAAATTTTACTATCATTCCATCATATAAACTAATGGATTTTATAAAAAAAGGAACATTTTTCGATAAAAGAGTTTAATTACCAGAACAAATACTAAAATTTTGAACCTTAATAATCACATTCGCTAAAGAAATCCACACAAGGATCTAAAATTTCAATGCAAACATCTCTAAATCCCCATGATTCTATTTTATAAAAAAGTATTACCATCATTAAGACTTTAATCTAAATTACTTTATAAAATAATCTTAGTGCTGGTCTTACCATTTGGCTAGATAAATTTATATGATTTAGACTCCAAAATAATAAAACC